GAACAGCTTTAACTAGGGTTACCACCTGAACAGCTGTAATTAGGGTTACCATCTGAACAGCTGCAACTAGGGTTACCACCTGAACAGCTGTAATTAAGGTTACCATCTGAACAGTTGTAACTAGGGTAACCATCTGAACAGCTTTAACTAGGGTTACCACCTGAACAGCTGTAATTAGGGTTACCATCTGAACAGTTGTAATTAGGGTTACCATCTGAACAGCTGTAACTAGGGTTACCACCTGAACAGTTGTAACTAGGATTACCACCTGAACAACTCTATAATAAGGAACAATTTTGTTGATGATTGATAATTTTTAACCACTTTGTCAAGTCAGAACCTAAGGTTTAAAAACAAGTGATACATGAAAGCAAAGTAAGAAACAGATCACGCTTGTAATTTTACTAATGAATAAGAAAAGATTCCATATAATATGTACACATAACAGGTGGCAACCATATTGAAGAGTGGGAAGCTCTGATAAATTGAAGAGTGGCATTAATATGTTCTTTGTATTATGAAAAACATGTTAGCTCTTATTAATAGAACTTGTAACTTAACTACGTAAGAAAGTTGCTGGTCCTTGCACTCACTCGCAACATCTGTGCCATTAGAGCTTCAGGGCTAAAACCAAGAGAATTCACTGAATGTGGCATTAAATCTGTTTGATTGTGCTCTCACCACGAGAGGGAAAGTACAGACATTATCCCACTTACGTCTGTATAATGTTCTTGTGATTGTTTACTAACTCCATGTTAACAAAAATTAGCCAGTTATAAATGTTAATTATAATGTTTAACACATCATTTGTATACTATACATTACTAAAGACCCATGTATAGATAGTGATTAAACATTATCGGTGAAATTAGTCTTAATGAAAGAAGATTAAACCTTGGCAATAAAGCAACACAGACTGTTGAGTTTGAAAAAAAAAAATTATTTATTGGAAATATCAAGCTAACACACATCACAGTTCTATTGATGTTTCTTACATCACATCACATCATGCTTTTGCTACATTCACTAGAGGTACATCTTGTAAAGCTATGGTATAAAATTGAGCACCTATAAAAAAAGGGACATATTACAGACGAAATGGAGCTACCGTTGAGCTTTGATGGCCTCGTTCTTATTTTTCAGTTCACAAGAAATAAGCACAGAATAGGATAAAATACAAGATAATATTATAATGTTAGTTTCCTTTGATAAACTTCAAGGTAGAGCTTCCTTTTTTGAATTGGTTTCAATCCTCGTGTCTTCTAACCACTGTACGTGATCACTTTTCTCTGTAGCTTCAGTTTACCACATCATATGGAAAGGATATGATAGAACTAAACTGGTGCTCACAAGAAATAATAACAATGACAGAGAAAGTTGAACAGCTTTAGAGTTTATAGCCTTTTATCCATTAGTCACCTAGGTAACCTAACGTCTTATCCGTTAGTCACCTAGATAACCTAACGTCTTATCTGTTAGTCACCTAGATAACCTAACGTCTTATCTGTTATTCACCTAGATAACCTAACGTCTTATCTGTTATTCACCTAGATAACCTAACGTCTTATCTGTTATTCACCTAGATAACCTAACCTTTTATCTGTTATTCACCTAGATAACCTAACCTTTTATCTGTTATTCACCTAGGTAACCTAACCTTTTATTTGTTAGTCACCTAGACAACCTAACATCTTATCTGTTAGTCACCTAGGTAACCTAACCTTTTATCTATTATTCACCTAGATAACCTAACGTCTTATCTGTTAGTCACCTAGGTAACCTAACATCTTATCTGTTACTCACCTAGCTAACCTAACGTCTTATCTGTTAGTCACCGAGGTAACCTAACCATTTATCCGTTAGTCACCTAGATAACCTAACGTCTTATCTGTTAGTCACCAAGGTAACCTAACCATTTATCCGTTAGTCACCTAGATAACCTAACATCTTATCTGTTAGTCACCAGGTAACCTAACCATTTATCCGTTAGTCACCAAGGTAACCTAACCTTTTTTTTTCTCATACAATAATTTCACTGACAACTTATTACAGTATTGAATTTTTAAAGTACTTTTAAGTTACATTGTAATAAAACAATATACATAAGTATATTAACAATATACATAAGTATCCATATTTTAAAACATAAGATTTTTTATTTTTCCACTGTTTTGTGAAATGTTTGAAATTTTCTGGTAGATCTGTGATTATGAACCACTGATGTAGATAACATGATGATAGTAGCTCTATATCCACTTTTTTATGAGAAACAGAACCTTATAGAAAAGTTATTTGATATAATAAATCAGATAGTAATGAAAAGTAACATACAATTTTATCTTAAAGACTTCTTTGTCAAGTTTTACTGAAAATCTGAGGAGTCTGACTTTGGACCCAAAATGGTACTGAACAAAACATACATATGCACTCTGTAAAAATGGCTAAATGGTGTTTCTTGTAGTAAGCAAGGTTATAACCACAGCTAACTAAGAGTTCATGTATGAGGTGTCACGTGAAACTAACTGATATACTAAAGTAACATCACAGGTAACGCATCCTTTCATGATTTTGGAAATTTTATATCCTACCCTCTCCCACGATATGGTTTCAGTTTTTTTTTTTTACAAAGGATAATCATTCTGATATCAAAGTTTAATAAATTCAGTTGTGTATGATAAAAAAAATTGTTTGACAGGTAAGAACTGTAATATAACCGATTTGTGATAATTAATATGAAACATATTTATATTGAAACATTCAAAGTACAGAAAAAGGATACTTCTATTTTACATAACCAATGTGTGTAGCATTTCCAACTGCTCTCCAAAAGCAGCCATATTTAACTGATTATAGTCATTATGAAAACTGCAGTCTCCTCTTAAGCCAGCTCTAAATTTCTGGGCTTACAATGCTAAATTTTGGGATTCAATTTGCCACGGATAACCTATCGTGTAGCTTCGCAAAAAAAATCAACAACAACAAAAACTGGAAAAAAAAAATAAGGTGATACACAAAACAATGTATCTTGAAAACTGATCATTAGTTGATCAATAATACCTTTTTTTTATCATGACATTTAGTATTTACCAAGATAAGAAAAAAAATATCTATGATTTGGTTCATATATATCTTTATTTACCACAGAGCTCATGAAAAATGTTTAATTATGTACTTTTATGCCATTGTTAATTTTCTTTTAAAAAATAACTTTTGGCCTCAGTAAGATAGATTTCTTTATGAAAACCCACAAACAGTTAATAACCCTGTACGTATCACTACATTAATATAATTTTTCTAAGATAAATATACAAACTCGGGCACAACTTTGATATTTATCTCCAGTGTTAGAATGCTGTTACTCATTTCATTTGAGATTTATTACATTCTTAGATTTAGTTCTTGCATTTATACTTACTGTCATGTATTAGTAAGACCATCTTTCTTAACCAAGAAACATTTGAGTTAAAAGATTGGTAACTTAATAATGTGACTGTCTATAATCCTATAGATATACTTAACTTTTGTGACACTTATTAAAGAAAAAGGCTTAACAACTAATACTGTAATATCAGGCTCGTGTACATTTATGTAAGTAAATTACCTTCTTATATCATTTTAAATCCTCCAGGGGGAATTAAAATTGGATAAGGGAAGTAGAACAAATGAAGTTGATCTGAATTCATGCTTTAAACACTGCTACAGAGTTGTTTCTAAGGAACTAATAAATATACGACAACTGAGTATTATCAACTCTTTCAGTTGGTGCGCATAGTAACTTGATGAGATTTAATAATAATGTCAAAATTCAAACTGTACAAACTTAAGAACAGATGGATAGTTGTGAAACAAGAGTATAGCAAAAGACTACATAGTAATTGCAGAAATTAAGACCATACAAACTTGTAAGGATAGTGTGTGAAGCAGAAAGCGTGACTGTAAACAACACACTGATTACAGATATGTAATTTGATAATAGTATTATAGTTGAGTTTGTAACCAAAATATTTCATGTTGTACTGAAAATAACATCATAATAATTACGTACGATGAAAAGTCAACCGAGAACAATGGCATATCGTTTACAAGCCATCATAGAAAATGTCAGTATGGCAGTTTCAGTTTAATACACGTTCACATGTTTGTTTTTCACAGCTATAAGTATTTCAGTTTTTCAGATGAAGAAACGTATTAACCTTCTTTTATTACAAACCTTATATTTGATTAGGTTTCTCTGTTTTTCAACATTTTTTTCTCAGTTATTGTATTTACATGGAATTATTTCTTCAATTCTGACAGCACAATTTTTTTCTCAAACTATAATGAGTAATGGCTTTCTTTTACTATAAACCTTTGGATGGTCAGCTATAAGTCTGTGGACTTGCAATGCTAAAATCCAGGGTTTGAATCCCAACAGCAGACAGAGTGCAAATAGCCCTAGAAAACACAACACTAACACTTCTACTTAAATGAATACAATCGTATAAACGGTTGTGCATTGAACTAGTTTCCGTACATTGTACCAGCTACAGTATAAAAGTAAGAAAAGCTTACATTTAAAGCCACAGGTGCCAGCCTATAGAACTGGACAATTTAAGACTTTTTTTTCAATGACCTTCCCATCCTCTATTGATTGCTTTCGTAATGGTCATCGACCCGGAAGGGAGTCATGAACCTACAAGAGAAATTCTCAAGACACTTGCCTTAAGTGGGATAATTGTCACAGAAAGTCCAATTTTTTTTTTAACCTACTAAATCTTAAATTCAAGAATCACTTAACCATTTTGAAGAATAACCCGGTGCGTGTTATTCATTCGACAGTTTTACAAAAGTGTAAAAGAAATAAAATATATTTATACAGAATCCTTTTCAGTAAAGCTCAAGCTATAAAATGTTTTTTTTTACTAGGCTACCATCACTCCATTGCTAAAGATTTTAATAAACTCAAAGGCATTCTATCACTTCTGAAGTATTTGTTAATTTTCCTAGTCGAGGTGTAATCATCGGGTGTAATTTATGGGTAACTTATTCAGTGACAAAATATAGAAAAATATGTAGATCATAAAAATAAGATTACAAAAAAAAAGAGGGAACAAAACGTTCGATGAAAGGATATGACAATAATAACAACTTTCTAAATACTTAATTTCCAATTGTTGTTATATGTTAAATTTTCACAATTATGCCATGCTAAGAAATGAGATTCTGTAGAGATATATTGGTAGAATATATCACAATGGTCACAACTTCTTAAAAAAAAGTTACTTTAACTTATATATATTAAATAAAACAGTATTTAAGCTAAGCCATTAATACATCAAAACTCAAAACCCATTGGTCTAAAGTGCAGTTCTTTCGTCGTAAACAACGATGGCCTCGTTATCCACCAGTGAGTCAGTGTCTTTGTGAATAAAAGGTAAGATAAGAAAGGAATTCTGGCTCTTGTTGACTGCAATGGCAGCAGCACTGTCGTTTCTCATGCGGTTTTTCCTTTTCTTGCTGAAATTTACCTGAAATTAAAGAAGAATTGCTTATAATTTGACTTGTGCATAAAAATTAACAAACATAAAAAGATTAATAAACATTTTCTATAAAAAAAGGCCCCCAGTGCGGACTTACAACACTAGAAACCGGGTTTCGATACCCGTGGTGGGCAGAGCATAGATAGCACATTGTGTAGCTTTGTGCATAAATTCAAATAATCAATCTATTAAAAAAAGAACTACTTTTAAGAAATTTGTCTGTTGAAATATATTTTATCCATCATTATTCCTATAAATGTTTCAGTCAAAAAGATTAATAGTTGGCTCTAGAAATCTTTGACACATTTTTTTTTTACAAACTTTGATTTAGTACATACATAACACACTGGATACTGGTGTAAAAGTTTGTTTGTTTTACAGAAAATTACACAATAGGCTATCTATGCTCATTCCACCACAGGGGAATCGATCTCTGGATTTTAAAACTGTAAATCCTGTGTCTTACTGCTAACCTAGCAGAAGACCTGGAGTTTAAGAGCTCATTCTGTAAATTGACCTACTTCTGTTTTTCGTTGTTGGTATACTTTGTGAAGTAACATCATTGTATATATATATCTGTATATAAAATGTTTTAAATTATATTGTTGAAACATACTTTACAATAACCTTTTTTTTTCGCTTCCAGGGCTAGTCAGTAAATACAATGTGCTGGCCCTGTAAAGTGCTTTATTCTGAAACATTGGCTAAATAAACTAATTACTCTAGAGCAATTAACTCATTTTACATTAACATTTATCTTCTGTAAATTAGTAGATAGGATAGTAAAGTGGCAACTTACTTTGGCATACAACTCGTTAAGGTCATCTTCGGTTGAAAGTGGCCGAAGACGAGAATGTCCCCATGCTGGAAGGCTTCTAGTTTTCATTATTGTGTCAGGGGTCATTATGAACTGGTGAGTTAATCCATTTAGTTCATCTAATCCTGTAAAAAGTTCATTGCAAAGCTATTTCTATACATAATACTTGTTATAGCAATTATATGTGTATTTTCTGTTTTACATAAACAAACTTATAAGTTAACAGAAATGATGTTCTGCCTTATTCTCTAAGGAGAGTAAGTTTTTTGAACCAAAAAAAACCAGGCCTGTTGAGAGGCAGGAACAGTTGGGGAAACTGCCCTGGTAATTTTAAAGTTACGTAGGGCCCCTTAAAAAAAAAGTGTAGCTATGTAAAATAAAAATGGGCAAAAAAATGTAAAATTCAGTGAATTTATTCATAAAATATAGGCTGTATTTTTGCGCTTTCTTTACTGCTAGGGGCTGTACCCCCATCCCAACTGTACAAGATTTATGAAAGACAAACACACACACTTCAGGCAAAGAAAAAAAGAGTACATTCACCATTTTCAGTTGAGTAGCTAGACTGATTTTAAAATTAGTTGTTTGCCGTAGACACACACCCTTATATCAAATATTTTGTATACAAAACTCTAATTTACAAACTTTTCTGATATATTTAGTATTTGAATTCTGCAGCCTTCTTAGCACTTAATACTACTGTAAGTTCGTTCTTAATTACCAGAAAAACAGAGGGCCCCTTTGAATCTGCCTCTGGCTTGTAAAGGTACTATAAAAAGCTATGCATTCTTCACCTAATTTTTTCATCCCCCTCTATTGTCCTGCCAAGGGGGTTTGTACCTCCATAAAGAAAGGGTATTCTTCTTCATATATGCCCAATTTTTATCAGTTTTAACTTTCAGGTAAGTAAAGAAATACTTAAATTTATCTTCATTTTTTTATATTTTATCTAAAATTAACCTGGAACTGGGACAGTGGCTACCCTATAAACATGGCACCAAAAGAGTAAATATCTTTAATTAAAGTATTATATTTTCACAAAACACATGATATTTTATCTAGCAGTAAAGAATACTTTTTTAAGCGTTTATCAATCTTTAAAGAAGCCTGCAAACATAAAAAAAAGAAAACAGAACAAGGGTTGATGTTTTAAAAACAAAAAGGTGCATGCTTAGATCCTTTTCAGACAGCTAGTTAAAGTTCCTAATTGAGAAAAAAGTCTGAATCAATCCTGGTCTTTTACTCACCATCATAAGACGAACATTCACTTAGCGGAGGCATGTCTTTTAGGCAGTAGTAACTTCGAACAGTATTCTCGGGAATACTCGACAGGATCACCTGGCTAATATCAACACCCACGTCTGGAAGAGCTGGCTCTGAGGGGTCGCAACCTCTTACTTGAGAGTCTAGTAAAGCATCATGGGAAAGATGGACTGGTTGACTCAGAGGTCTAGGTTTCATACTAGGATTATTGTGTGTTTGTTTAACCTGAAAATTCCAAAGTTTATTACTGTAAATATAGAGTCCTTAAAAATTTGACTTTCTTTTAAGAACTGCGAAATGCATTACATCCTGACGATATTAATTAAATTTTTTTTTTTGGTAGGTTGAAACAAGAATGTATATAAATTCTGGACACTTACTTGGCTGTTTTACTTTACTTTTAGTACAAGCTTTTAGCTCCTTAGTTAACAAATCCTCATGTCAAAGTTGGCTAAGACTACTTCACAGCTATTTTGGAGTTTGCAAGAAAGTAAAAATAATTTATGTGGTACAACTCACCCCCTTATCTTCTTCGACAGGCACCATTTGAGAATGTAGTACAGGCTTGTTGTTGTTTTCAACTACTGGACTTTTGTATTGCTGGTTGTTTTTTACTCCAACAAATACCATGGATTCACTGAAGTCAGTAAAAAGTTAAAATTAACACCTTTCACTAGAAGCCACTTTAACTCCTAACAAACTGTTGATAATATATCAAATATACATATATTTCTTGCTTACAGTACAAAAACAATTCAGTTTTAAGCCTTATTTCATCTTTAAAGGATAGCAAAGTTACAAACGCTTATCACAAATATTTGGATATTTAACTTCATTCTTTCTTGAGAATCAAAATAACTGTATGAAAATTAATTGTTCTACCGTTACCTAGCAGTCACAAAAAATATATCTGATAACACCTGCCATACGGTAAAGTGATACAAATCAGGTTGTTTGAAGTATATCTATATACGTATGTATGTATTAAAACTTGCAATGTTAGGAGATCCATAGATTACTGAACATAATTGTATCATATGTCATTATTTAAACTTCTGTTGTTAAGGAATCCACAGTCTACTAAACAGGAAAAGATGATGTTGGAACGGTTGAGAGAAATATAATGAAAATAAAACTTAAAAAAGTCACCTCTGAATAACCCCAGATCCAGTTTGTTTAACAGTTTTGCCTTCTTCTGATTGGTCTTTGCAACCTAAAATCAGAAACAAACAGTAAATTTATCATGTCAAGAGCTGTAGAAATTAAATTTATTAAGCAAAATGTTTACTCTCCTTGCTTTTGTTTTCCTTTTTACAACAGTTAATTTTTAATAAGCCAAGGTATTTATTTCAATAATGCTTTTTTTGGCATCTTTTACAAAATACTACTAATAGATGGCGCCACTGACAGAATTTTGTGTGTGTGTGTGTGTAACGTCTAGAATTTTCAATTACTAGATAACATATTCATCATTATCTAAGACCGGTAGATACTATAGGAGATTTCTTACTGTATTCCTTCTCATTCACTGTCTTCTGACAACAACAATGCCAGGCAAGCACGGCCACTGCCAGTATAAGCATTAATCCCAAGGCACCTGCAGATAAAGAAAAGAAATAACATCCTATTACCAAAAATAGCGACAACGTTCCTGGAGTCAAAACTAAGTTAACTTAATTAAACACCACTATTATTTCCAAGTTCTCTGATTATCTGTAACTTTAGTTAATTAAATTTATATACGTTGGAAAAAAAACTGTGACGTGTCGTACAAAAAAAGGTATATATTAAGTTCTAAATGTGTCTCACGAAAAGATAAAATATATACAACCTTTCATTAACGCGGTTCTTTCTATCGTAAAAGGGGTTTTTTATACGTAGCTACGCCTTGTAATTTTGCCACGAGATATCTCTACTTTACAGTTCTTTGTCTTTTTTATTTTATTCTATTGGTGTTAATCACGAAGCTAAAAAATGGACACTATCTGCCCACCGAAAGTATCAAACACCGATTTTCAGTGTATAAGTTCGTATATTTACTGCTGAACCATCGGGGGAAGGGAGCTACAGTTTTTACCCATATAGATAATAAATAAATACTTCACTATTACTCTGTTCTTACTATCTACAATAAATCTATCTAAATATGAGCTACTAATTAAGGACTGTTTTACTCTTCTACACTACACCCAGATACAACAGTTGTAATGTTACAGTAGTGTACTAGTAACTAAGGCCTGTTTTAGTCTTCTACACTACACCCAGATACAACAGTTGTAATGTTATAGTAGTGTGCTATTAACTAAGGCCTGTTTTAGTCTTCTACACTACACCAAGATACAACAGTCTGACAGTTGTAATGTTATAGTAGTGGGTTGGTAATTAAGGCCTGTTTTAGTCTTCTACACTACACCAAGATACAACAGTCTGACAGTTGTAATGTTATAGTAGTGGGTTGGTAATTAAGGACTGTTTTACTCTTCTACACTACACCCAGATACAACAGTCTGACAGTTGTAATGTTATAGTAGTGTGCTAGTAACTAAGGGCTGTTTTAATCTTCTACACTACACCAAGATACAACAGTCTGACAGTTGTAATGTTATAGTAGTGGATTAGTAACTAAGGCCTGTTTTAGTCTTCTACACTACACCAAGATACAACAGTGTGACAGTTGTAATGTTATAGTAGTGAGTTAGTAATTAAGGACTGTTTTAATCTTCCACACTACCCACATACAAAAGTCTGACAGTTGTAATGTTACAGTAGTGGATTAGTAACTAAGGACTGTTTTAATCTACACTACCCACATACAACAGTCTGATAGTTGTACTGTTATAGTAGTGGGCTAGTAACTAAGGACTGTTTTAATCTTCCACACTACCCACATACAAAAGTCTGACAGTTGTAATGTTACAGTAGTGGATTAGTAATTAAGGACTGTTTTAATCTACACTACCCACATACAACAGTCTGATAGTTGTACTGTTTCAGTAGTGGGCTAGTAACTAAGGACTGTTTTAATCTTCTACACTACCCACATACAACAGTCTAACATCTGTAATGTTACAGTAGTGGATTAGTAATTAAGGACTGTTTTAATCTTCCACACTACCTACATACAACAATCTGACAGTTGTAATGTTATAGTAGTGGGCTAATAATTAAGAACTGTTTTAATCTTCTACACTACCCACATACAACAGTCTGACAGTTGTAATGTTACAGTAGTGGGTTAGTAATTAAGGACTGTTTTAATCTTCCACACTACCCACATACAAAAGTCTGACAGTTGTAATGTTACAGTAGTGGGTTAATAATTAAGGACTGTTTTAATCTTCTACCCTACCCACATACAACAGTCTGACAGTTGTAATGTTATAGTAGTGGGTTAGTAATTAAGGACTGTTTTAATCTTCTACACTACCCACATACAACAGTCTGACAGTTGTAATGTTACAGTAGTGGGCTAGTAATTAAGGCCTGTTTTAATCTTCCACACTACCCACATACAACAGTCTGACAGTTGTAATGTTACAGTAGTGTGCTAGTAATTAACGCCTGTTTTAATCTTCCACACTACCCACATACAACAGTCTGACAGTTGTAATGTTACAGTAGTGGGTTAATAATTAAGGACTGTTTTAATCTTCCACACTACCCACATACAACAGTCTGACAGTTGTAATGTTACAGTAGTGGGTTAGTTATTAAGGACTGTTTTAATCTTCTACACCACCCACATACAACAGTCTGACAGTTGTAATGTTATAGTAGTGGGCTAGTAATTAAGGACTGTTTTAATCTTCTACCCTACCCACATACAACAGTCTGACAGTTGTAATGTTACAGTAGTGGGCTAGTAATTAAGGCCTGTTTTAATCTTCTACACTACCCACATACAACAGTCTGACAGTTGTAATGTTACAGTAGTGGGCTAGTAATTAAGGACTGTTTTAATCTTCTACACTACCCACATACAACAGTCTGACAGTTGTAATGTTACACAAACTCAACTTCTTTGAATAATAAAGTATAAATTTTAGATGTAAAAATTAAGCAACTCAATAAATATTAAATGTATATATATATATATACAAGATAATCTATCTTAAAACGTTTCGTCGATATATAGCGATGTTATCCAACTAAATCTGTATTATCATTACCTATGGCTGCACCAACAAGAATGGTCAAGTCTCTGTCCAGATGCCACTTGGTCAGGAAGCCCCTGGGTGTACCGGTTACGTTCTCCGCAGTGTGGTCCATGTAAGCCAGCATGGTTACGCTTTGTTGTAAGACCACGTGGCGGTAACCGTTAGGATTCAAAGTGTCGTTATCTGCTAATACAGATAATAAGAAAAAAAACGACTGTAATGTCACGAGTAATAAAACAGTTACAAATGTATACAAATAGAACTTTTTAAACCTAAATACTCCACGACCTCGTAAAGTGGTTGAAGATATTATGTTAAACAAGAAACGCAGACGCTGGTTAGTTGTGAATCCAGTGGATTGGTTTTCCTCTACTAAACACTACAGCTGTTATCATATTATTATATGTTTGTCTACGTCAAGCTTTCGCTTGCTTTAGTGTTTCGTCAATGGCTTTCTGATCTGGAGAGCTATTAGAGGTTAACACTTGCAAAGTGTTAAGTTCTTCCTCAGAACGGGCCTGGCGTGGTCTGGTGGTTAGGGCGCTGGACTCACAATATGTGGGTCGCGGATTTCAATCCCATCACGCGGAATATGCTCGCCCTTTCAGCCGTAGGGTCGTTATAACGTGCGATCTGTCCCACTATTCGTTGGTAAAAAGAGTATGATATCAGAAGGTATCGTTAGAGTATGATATCAGAAGGTATCGTTAGAGTATGATATCAGAAGGTATCGTTAGAGTATGATATCAGAAGGGTGTCGTTAGAGCATGATATCGGAAGGGTGTCGTTAGAGTATGATATCAGAAGGGTGTCGTTAGAGTATGATATCAGAAGGGTATCGTTAGAGTATGATATCAGAAGGTATCGTTAGAGTATGATATCAGAAGGTATCGTTAGAGTATGATATCAGAAGG